AAAGTGAATTTATAGTAATTTTGTTAATCAATTTTTATGAATAAAGTTTTCACATAACTCCTACTTTATATAAGTAGACAAGTTCTTTAAAAATAAACTAATATATTAAAAATTACAAAAGTTAAAATTTCTTTGTCTTTGGCTGTAACATTTTCTGGAAAAATGAATAAAATTGGTTTGGAATAGCAAGTATGTGCTGTATACTAACTGTATCTTCTTTAACAATTAAATAAACTTAGAATTGCTATTAATATTTTAACAACACTTACAATTACAAGGCAATGATTTCATAACAAATATGAAATATTAAAACTTATATAAAACAAAAACTAGAGCAGAGTGACATTATAGACAATCACTTGACACAAATGAACCACAAAGCCTCTTCAGATTTTTCTTGTAGGGCTTCTAGAAGGGTGATGTTGTTGTCTCATCCTTCTTACACAATTTATAGACATATACATGACTATAAAGTTTAAATCACTGGATAAATGACCAGTAATTCTACAAACTTTTTGTAAATTTTCATAAATATGAAATATTTAAAATAACTTTAATTAACTTATGTATACTAAATTATCTAACATAGACAGTATTTATCACTTCAAAGTATATTTTAGTAGCAATATAATTCTTAAAAACAACTGTGGAAATGTTTTACTTAAATATTTAAAAATTTCTTTATGTTTTTTTATCTCTTTACTTTAGCATTTTTAAATCAGTATCCCTTCAGAATTCCTTTTACTTCATAAGAGAAAGACAGACTGCAACAGTGCAGAAAAATAAACTGGAAATGATAGAAATGCAATTTAAGCACTATAATTTCTTCATATAACTTGACAAAATAGAGCATTATCAAAAGTTTAAAGCAGTATTCAATTCTTCGAACCTATATAACTATTTTCTTATTTGTTAAATTTCCTTTATTTTTTCAGTTACAGATAGTAAAAAGAGTAAATTTATCAGATATGCCATTGTGTGTATATCAATTTTCAATAGAATCTCCAATTTCTCAAATTTATAGCAATCTAAATACTTGAGATGCTAGTAAAAAAGAGTTTATCATTTATGGATTCATAATTTTCTAAGAAAGTATTTGATTTACTAAAACATTCATAAATTATCCCTTGTTTACTTTTCCTATATAAATAATATCAACAATAGTTAATATATTACAAGTATACACTGTTTTTTAACTATTGCTACAAATTAGTGATTAATAAAGCAATGCCGTTTCACGAAAATGTGATAAGTAAACAAATAAATGGATTACTCATCATAAAAATCTCATTGACATGATTGAATCTTTGTGTTAATAACAGACAAACATATAAATATTTATGCTATAAAGAAGTTAGAGAACTTAATTTGAGGATAGATATTTTTGGAACTGATTTGTTTCATCCTCTATAGAACTACTGTAAATAACATAAAAAGAAAGACTAAATGAAGAATTTAAATGTACAGCCACGTTCTGAGCAAAGTTTTTGCTAAGAAAAATCAACAGCTGTTTTAAACTATACAATTATTCTTTTATAAATCTAAAATTTCCAACTATCAGTTCTAGATATTAATCTCTGTTTGCTGTGCTAAACATAGCATTAACTTCATTTAAATGATAAAAGAAATTCTAACTTTAATTAGATTTTGTTATTTCTTTTTGTGTGGATCAGTGCTTCATAACAACAATGCATGCCTTTCACTTCCCTTTATTATTTCCATATATAGAGGAGAGAAAGCAGACAAATAAGCTGGGAAAAAATTTTAAATCATTTTAATAGACTTTAATAAGTTTAAAGAAACACAAAACAACATAATAACGGTGGGAAAGGACACCTAGTCTCACTAAAATTTAAAACGAGTAATCGTAAAGTTTCCCTAATCACTAAAATGGAATACAAATGACTAGCCTTTGAAAATACAGTAGAGCCTCGAAAACTCAGCCTAATGTGGACCAAAGGGTGGCCGAGTTTGTGAAAATGCTGGGTTATCGGGAATGGGGTTAAAAAAATATAAGTACGGGTGTTTCCTCAGAAAATACTGTACTTTACTTGTATGTATTGTTTGCTTGAGAATACAACAGAGAATAAACTGCCCAAATACCCTTTAAAAAAAGGAAAAGTACGTACTTTATGAAGGCATAGCCTTTACTACATGGAAATGAAAATTAATGAATACACTGTGTACAGTAATTTACCTGATAAGACAGACCTCAGAAAAATACTCTACGAGGCATAAAGCTGTCTATGATGAAAATTAATTATCTAAGGGTATTTTTGCCCTGCCAAGGTGTGGCCGAGTTATCCAGAGTGCCAGGTTATCGAGTGCCGAGTTTTCAAGGCTCTACTGTAATACCAAACCCATGAAAGTTTCAAACTGAATTTTATAGCAAATTGTAGAAATATGATTAAATATCTTCCCTTATAAATACATGCAATCAAAATGAAAATTTACTATTATTATTAGTGATATAAAATTTCAGAAATTAAAAGCTTTTGCAAAATACAAAATTCAAACAAAACAAATTTATTTTAATTATAGAAAAATTATGTTTTACTGAAGTAAGTTCTTAAGTATTTAAAATTCAAATCTTGTGTACTAGAAAATGTTTAAAGTGATTTAAACATTCTCAAACACAACGAAGTACAAAAAACAAAGTGTAATAAAACATAATTTTCTTGTAATTTGAATTTTAATTGAAATTCTGCTAAATGAACTCAAAGTTTGAATAAAATGTTATATTCTCAATTTATTTTCATATATAAATATAAAATTTAGATATTATAGAAGATAATCTTACAAATATATAAAAGTTTTCCTTCTGTAACATTTAAAATAATTACTATTTTAATTAATAAATTAAACCAAGGACAATAAACTAGTCATCCCAATGTTCTACAAGTTGAAAATCTTTAATCTATAATTCATTTTTTAATATCTCTCTTGATCTTTAGCATCATACTTTATAAGACTGACCTTAACTAAACCATATCCATCTCCCAGAACACAAGAATGGCTAGTAATATCTGAATAACCAGTTTTGACAATGGCTCATGACCTTGTTACCTTGTAAATGCTCTATCAAAAGAATGCAGTTTATAACTGCTTTGTCATATAATGTTAAATGAAGTAGATATTAAAGAATGGAGAGAGAATAAAATCTCAAATATCTCTTGAAGATTAAAGACTTCAATCGTACAGCATATATTAACCATTTACTCAAGTAAATGGCTAATTTTAATGAAGTTGGCGAAAAAGTAAATATTTATCATAAACTTAATGTTTTGATTAAAAAAATTAATTTAGCAATTTGGAGGCTCTAATTAATCCACTTACATAATATATTAGATATATGATACAATGTTATATGTTCCTGAAATTATTATATATAATTATAAACAATTTTTAAGAAATTTGGAGAAATTCTATTCTAAATACTATATTATTTTAATATAACTTAAATATCTACACTGATTATATTTTATACAGCTAAATTTAATTTTTGTTACTGTTAAACATACATATAATAGAGATAATTATTCAAATTATAAAGTTAAAATTGTCTTAAATCTATTTTATGTTTAGTGTATTATTTTATAGCAAGAAATTCAGTTAAAATTTAAATATTTCGAAAAAATTTTGTGTCTAATTTTTAAAAAATAAAATCAAAATAGATACATCAATATTGTATATAGTGAAAAAAAACTTCTTTTGCTATGGCAAAAGAATACAGAAATACAGTATGTTCAAAAACATACTGTATTTCTGTGCAAATAAAAGCATGCTCTTATACATGAAAACTGCTCTTTTTCTCACTTTTGAAACATATGTCCTGCTTTGTTTATAAGAGCATGCTCTTTTGTGCCAGCTTGTTCTGGCATATAAGATCACTGCAGTGCTGTGTCAATGTAAATTAACTTACACGTACGATGGATGTCACACCAATAATTGTACTGACTCAAGAGAAAATTCACACACAAAAAAGGTGTTAAGGAACATTTTTCTGCCTGAGGATGACGCCTATTAATGCATCGAAAGTGCTTGCAGGAAATAAAACATTCCTCAATGCCAATTTTATGTGAATTTTCTCGAGTCAATGTAAATTAAATATATATAAATATAATGATACAGTAACTATTTAGTTACATTTCTGTGATAATCATTTTTAAAATAAAAATTCAAAATAACAAAAATGGTTTCAGAACAATAAATGTTTTTTAAGTACTTTGTGGAATAAAGTATCAAATTTGTTCTCTTATTTATTTTTCTGTTATTTAATTACTTTTTGAAGCTATTAAAGTTATTCTATGGTTGTTTAACTGTACACCATGTCCTTATTCTATGACATTTCATAATATTTAAAATGTAAATTTATATGAATTATTATTAAACAAAAATTAATATATTAAAAGTAAATAAAAAAGAAAAAAAGATTAAAATTAAAAAAAGTATTTTAACTTTCAATTAAATATTTAAAATATTATAGTTGTTATAGAAATTCCTTAAACAAATACAATTCAAGTTATTTTTCTTGAAATGAAAATTTAAGAAAACTCAAGTACTTTCAGGCGCTATGTCTATTATGAGAAGTTATCAACAAAATAATATTAAAAAAAAAAATGCAATATGTATATTTTTCTATTGTTGACTCATGATGACAAGTTTAAAATCTGATCGTGTTCAAGTCTTACAAAAAGCCTTCACTACATAAAAAGCAGTTGAAATTAAATTTTAAAAAGTATTTGAGAAAGAAAACCATTAAAAAATTAAATAAAAATGAACATTTATTATCAAATTTAATAAAAAATATTAATAACAAATAAAATCTTCAGATAACTTTAAATTATTTGAGAATTTATATATGCACATTCAATGAATGTAAATTTTTTAATAAAAATTCGTGACTTATTATTATTTTTTAAATAACTAAATAAGCTGATACATTCATAACGTATCAGCTGGTTTATAAAATTTTAAATATTTAATTTTAATATCNTACATTATAATATTATATTATCGAATGATCCAGTCAATAAATAATATGCTTTCGGTGAAAATCTGACACTCCTGACATCTGCAGTATGCGGATGGAATGTTTGGATTGTACGTCCTCCACGTATATCATATAATAAACAGCTGGAATCCTCCTGTCCGGAAACCATAAGCCTTCCAGAAGGATCCACGCTAACTGAGGCTACAGGACTCCCTGATTAAATATATTTTAAATGCATTATTATTTCAGAATTTAATAAGACACTATATAATATATATATATATATATATATAATTTAAAAAATATAATAGATTATTTTTCTCTAATATATTTTTAAGTGTTAATTGAGAATGTATAAAAAGCAATAACTGCAAATTCAATTATATTTAATTCAAAAGAAAAATAAATTTGACATAAATGAACAGAAAAAGGATGCTATAAAAGAATACAGTGCAAAAAAAAAAGCAGTAGTAACAAAAAAGAGTGGAAATAAATGACCATTACACCACCACAGTGACACGATGTATATAAAAAAATACAAATATAAGCAGATGGTATCATCCTTTTGATAGCCAGCAGTATTTTATAAATTTATTTTTATGCATTTTACTAAATATATCTACACATTAAGGAGAAATTCTATATGAATTTTGATACTGTATAAAAATATAAATATATATTTTTTAAATTAAAGATTAATGTTTTTAAAATCTTATATTACACTTGTATAGTAGCATACCTATTTAAATATTGTTCATTATAAATCTGTTCATTTTATTTTCATTTCTTGTCTTTACATTTATTTAGCCCTTTATAAACATCTAGTGCAGCTTAATATATTTTTGTATAAAAAACATTAATTAATTATCTATCTAAAAATCTATCTAACAAAGAAAAAGTGTAAGAATTATAAAATCTAAAAACAGATGAATTATAATCATTTCACTGTTAACAAATTTACATTCCATTGTCTACTATCAGTAAATATCATATGATGTTATGATTCTGCTATTAATCAAAATACATTAGATAAGTGTATATTATTTTGATATTAACTTGTAGAAATATTTAGAAAATTAAATTTTATAATTATATAAATTTATCTGAAATCATATGAATAATTTATTGATATAGAAATAAAAAATTAGACAAATGTTGAATCTTGAGTTTGTATAATGAAAGAATTTACTAGAACTTGCACTAGCTATCCGAGATCTTAGACTAGCTATTATTATAATGTTATGCATTATAAACAAAGCACATATTAATTACTTAATCAACAACTCATTTAAGTAGAGTGAATCTAAAATTTTAGGTGAATGCTTAGTTTTACCTAAAAGAAATTGTTGGTGGAAGTATGAAAAATATATGTAAATTAAAATAAGATTGAAATTTAACAGCATTACTTTATACATGCATTGAACTTTTATAAAATTTTAAAAAATCAACTTATAATAGAACAACACAATTTTTAAAAAATTATCTTAATGATGAAAATAAATATTTACCAACTAAAGAGCTATTTTGTCCTTTGGTTGGTACAACATTGGTGCAACTACGGCTACGGAGATCCCAAAATCGAACCGTTTTGTCTTGAGAACCACTTACAAACATTGCTCCTCCCCATGTATACAAGCTGAGAATCTGACCTAAGTAAGAAATAGAAAACTGGAATTGTTTAGAAAAAAATTCATATAGTCAAATGTCAAATTAATTAAATTACTATAGAAATTTATATGTATATACATATACTATACATACATGCACATATTTGATAATTTATTTGAATAAATTATCTATATGTTATCCAAATGTTCATAATACATAATATTAAATAAATAAGTTTGAAAAATATTGCAGATTTAAGAAATGTAAAATATCTTTCTACAAATTTTCACTTTTTATTCCATGATGTATAATAGTCTCAACAATTTGGCTTAAATAGGAACAGTGATGATCCAGATAACAAAAAATACTGATAATATGAAACCAATGTAGTCCTATAAGCTGTAGACTACATGAGATTAGACTATTAGATAGGCTCAGTATGGACATAAAAAAAAACTTATGTAAACCCTGGGGCCAGCTATCCCTAGATAACTGAGACTCGACTGTACCCTACACTAATCATTTCTTAACTATAATTTCTTTACTCAAAAATCACCTTATCTGATAATCAAAAGCATTAGGTTATGTTGCAAACAACTAAACTTGCTAGAAGTTCATTGATGAAAGGCCAAAAACAGGACTACAAGGTTTTTATTCTCCCTTAGTTTGTAGGACCTTGTATAATAAGACTTGTAAGATAAAAATCTGCTGAAAATGTATGTATTTTTATCATTATGGAACTATTAAAACATTCTCTCTTATTTTTAACTTCTTAAAACTGCTTTATTTTTATTGTTATTAAAATACATNAATATATTTCCCTAGTATAAAAAATAATACATATAAATATGTATTATTGTATTTATATATACAAGTATCTGTAATTCTAATTTATATGTAGTCAATTCATACAACTGAATAAGTTATATTTATGAAGTAATCATCCAATTTAAATTATATGAATCCTGTTTATGATCACATAAAAAATATTTCAAAATAATATGTTCAAAAAAACATGAGGAATAAGTCAAAAAGTCAAAAAAATGTTAGAATATAAGAAATTATTTAAGTTATTCAAAATAATTATCCCAAGCTTCAATGTGCTTTCTCCAATTCAGGAAACATTTAGAAAAATTAGTTTATTTTAAGAATCACAAAATATTCTTTGATTTGATTCTATTGATTCAAACTATTTTCCTTTTAAAGTTGTAACAGCTATTCTTCCATAACTATTCAACTCCCCTCATCTAGTTCCTAATGACTTTTTCCTTACTTAGGGCTGGAAAAAGCATTAAAAGTCAATGAGTTGATAGAACTCATACAAGAAGAATGGAAGAAAATTTTGTGATTCCCAAAAGAAACTGATTTTTCTAAATGTTTCCTGAATTAGAGAAATTGTTGGTAAAAGTATATTGAAGCTTAGAATGATTTATTTGAAAATATTAAATAACTATTTTATATATTTAAATTATTCTTAATTTAATTAGCTTTAATCTATTGAAATATTATTCTAATTATTCATAGATTCAACGTTGCATAAAAGATGAAAAATCCAAAATTTACGTTAAAAGGAGACAAAGTTCTTGTAGTATTCTTGTTAAAAATGTAAATAAATTATAGTTCTCTAATAAATTAAAAATTTCTTCTTTGTTTAGAGTTATATGACTTAAGAGTCATGTTCCAATTCCTAACAACCACTTTTCCTGTCTAACCAACAACCACCTCTCAATCATGTTCATTGCTACTGCCTCATCCGTCATCTCTTAGGTCTTTCTCGCATGTATATAGGCATGCATTTAAGAAGTTTTTAAGTAAACAACCACTTCTTATACTTTTATCAAAGAAAATATTTCTTTCTCTATTTAATTATTTCCTAATTTTTATGTTAGATATATGATGTGCTTGAAACACTGTAGCTTATCCTCTAAAAGTTCATTTTCATTACAAGAATGGCTTTTCAACTACTAAACATTCACAGCCATAGGTGCTATATTTTTCATTAGGGCAAAGTATAATTTTTGTTTTGTTTTCTTTAGTACAGAGAATTGGACTTAAGTGTTCTTATATTTTTTCTACCTTTATCTATTTTATCTTTTTCTTATTTCCTTCTCAGTATTTCTTTCTATGCTTAACACATGCAGAACACTACATTCACGTTCTTCTGCTTTAACAATACCTATATAACCAAATTTCTCTTAAAATTTGTCTTAATCTCTTCACTAAATCTAAATCAACTTCTAATTTATAAATAATTTCTTTCTTGTACATTCACTTCTAATCCATACTTTTGATATTTTTCTATGACAACTCTTGTCCTACAAGAATCATCATCATTTTCATCTGAAGCAATCATTTATTTGTTTGGAAAGTGTAAGTTGCATAGAACTGAATCATCAAAAAAAGAATAAAAAAAAAACTTTTCCTTCAGATGTTAATTCCTGTCTGAGTCATCAATTTTCATTCATGTTTTTGTATTTCCTCTTACAAACATGAGGTGAATGCTTAATATACAAATTTAATAATATTAGAAAGAGAGAAACCTTTATTTTATCTTTTCAATTGCAGAATATTTTCTATATCTGTTTTTTATATCTAACAGTGTAACTTGATCCACTATAGAGTTCTTTAATCTACTTATGCCTTGTTTCTTCAAACTTCCCATAGTTTTTTTTTTTTGTGATAAACATAAAGCTTTCTATATATGAAAAATCAAATGAATTGTCCCATTTCAAGCAGTTTCCCTTTCTGTAAGCTACTGGATAAAGAAAATATCAACATTTTAAATAATTATGAATTTATGATTAAAGTAGTGATGTACAAAGAAACACAATGTTGTTGGTTATATTGGTTGCTGACTGGAGAAAACTTTGAGCATCAGAATGTGAGCTTCATTGCCACAGAAGTGGTATTCTATATTAAGAAAGCATATCCATGTTTATCATATCCATTGTTGATATAAAAATAATACTCACGCATATAATTTTATTGCATTTTTACTTCAGTCATTTACACCGTAGTATCATAGTATGGGGATGTTTTGATTTCTATTTATCACAATGTTTTAATGTAGAAGAAAATTTTTAACAGTAAATTTAACAGTGACAGTTCTATTAATGTAACAATTATTTATGGTGACATCATCACAATGCTGGGTTGCAATTTTTAAAAAAATTACATGATTTCTAGTCCAGGCCAGAAGTTCACACTTCGTTAATTGGGACCTCTGGTCCCTAAGCTTTCCATATCTGGTCTTGATTTTTATCTATCTAACTCCATTCTCGAGATTAATGAAAGACAAACAGGCAAATGACAGTGGGAATGTATAGGTCTACAATTTGAAAATTGCAGCCCATTTATATTAATAAAAACATTAGTTATGCTCTGATTGCTAACATTTTTGCTAGATTAATCAGATAGCAAATCTAAATTTTGAACATAACAAAAAAAATTTAGTAATAATAAATTTTTATGATAAAAAAAACTTATTTGACATTTCTAATTTCCATCTAATTTTTTCCTGAAAGTCTCTATAAATATCCACATTAAAAACAAATTCTTTTAAAATAGTGTAAAAAATGGTTTATATAAGATTTAACAGATTCACAGATTTTCATAGTTTTTAATAATATTAGCACAGATGTTATGCAGAAATCATGATATAACATTCTAAAAAAAATGCATTCTGATCCCAGAAGCTTAAGTTACACATGAACTAAGAGTATCACATAATTAAATTTAGGAATGGTAAGATCATTTGAATAGTACATAACCTTGAATAATTTCAACTAAGAAAAACACTTGAAATTAAAGAAGAAATTTTTCAAGAAAGATATCATTAGCATCATAAATATAAATGAATCAAGTGTATAATAAAATAAATCTATTATAAAAGAAAAATGGCTTTTTAATGGAGAAAAATTATTAAATAAAACAACAGAAAAACATTTGAATATTTTCAAGCCTAAATGGCACATTATCAAAACCTGTAAGAAATTTTATTGATATGAAAGCTGAAATAATGTAATTCATTCATTGATTTATCTTCTGTCCAATCTGGGTTAAGTCCTCCATGACTCCAGAAATTTTTTCAAGTATTCCTTTCCCTTGTTTATAAGTATGTAATTTGTATGTAAGTTTAAAGTCCAAAGTTTTTCTTCACTGTCCGCATCCAGGTAATACTGGGTCTTCCTCTTTTTCTTATTGCTAATCCTGGCAAACAATGCAGCTATTGGAAGCCTGGGATGTCATTCTTTCAATAAGTCTGTATCATTGCAATTAAATTTTGTGGATTTTACTTATTATAGAGTCAGAATATTTTAGCTCCAGTCTTATATGTGTGTCTGTCTTTCTTGTTAGTCCACTTGGTACTGTTTACTTTCTTTAAACATTTAATTTCAAAGACGTTTCAGCTTTCTAGCTTTTTTCTTAATTATCCAGGCCAATCTCAGAGTCATAAATTGCATTTTGAATTATGTTACTGTCAAATAATATTAGTTTTAACAAACTAAATAATTCAATTACGAAAATACATAAATACATGTAGACTTGGTGTATGATATTGTAACTTATAAGTATAATTTTCAATTTGACAGTTTGTTAATTGTTATTACATTTAGTAATATTTGGAAATTATGTTTTACAAGTAACATTAGTTCATAAAAAAGAGATTACTAATTACTTGATACAGTCTAATACAAAAAGAAATCTATGGGAGTGACACCATTCCTAGTAATGACACTGTATAATGTAGAGTAACAATTCATTAATATAATTATTTTATTAAAAAAACTTTATNAATATATTTCCCTAGTATAAAAAATAATACATATAAATATGTATTATTGTATTTATATATACAAGTATCTGTAATTCTAATTTATATGTAGTCAATTCATACAACTGAATAAGTTATATTTATGAAGTAATCATCCAATTTAAATTATATGAATCCTGTTTATGATCACATAAAAAATATTTCAAAATAATATGTTCAAAAAAACATGAGGAATAAGTCAAAAAGTCAAAAAAATGTTAGAATATAAGAAATTATTTAAGTTATTCAAAATAATTATCCCAAGCTTCAATGTGCTTTCTCCAATTCAGGAAACATTTAGAAAAATTAGTTTATTTTAAGAATCACAAAATATTCTTTGATTTGATTCTATTGATTCAAACTATTTTCCTTTTAAAGTTGTAACAGCTATTCTTCCATAACTATTCAACTCCCCTCATCTAGTTCCTAATGACTTTTTCCTTACTTAGGGCTGGAAAAAGCATTAAAAGTCAATGAGTTGATAGAACTCATACAAGAAGAATGGAAGAAAATTTTGTGATTCCCAAAAGAAACTGATTTTTCTAAATGTTTCCTGAATTAGAGAAATTGTTGGTAAAAGTATATTGAAGCTTAGAATGATTTATTTGAAAATATTAAATAACTATTTTATATATTAACATGTTTACTTTTTTGAACACATCTTGTATACTTTGTTTTTACATTTTTTGCTATTTAATGATAGTTACTAAACTGTCATCAAACATAAAAAAAAAATCAATATTAATTTTACAATTTAGAATAAAACAAAGTATTATAAGTAAATTGAGTCAGTTTCATTTGTTTTTAAATATTACAGATTATTTTTATCTGAAAATAATCAGCTATTAATATTTTTCATGGTATAAAAAAATATCTTCAAAATCATAAAAATATTAAAATACTTCTTATGACTGCTAGAGAAAAATAGTAGTTTCATTCAGATACAAAACAATCTGAGTGAAACTAAAGCACAGCTTTATATTTTCAAATCATATCAAGTATGAGTAATAATATAGAAACTATAATCAACCAAAAATGTAACCTGAATTATTCTGTAATATGCAAATATATGTAATGTTTATAAAAACATTCTATTGTCTTTATATTATAAAATTTTTTGTATTATTTTCAGAAGTCCCTATTGTACTTTTATACTTCCATAGAGATTTTACAGATCAATTTAAATGTATAGTGGATAACATAATGCCATTCACATACATTTTATTTACATAATTATTTTGCATTTATAAAAAGTACATCAAACTGATTTATCTGTATTTAATATATCAGATTAATTTGCAAATAACATAATTCCATAATCCTAATACATTTTAGGAGATAAGAAAAATTATAAGTTAATTACATTACATGAGAATTCTAAAATTTATATATACAAAAATATTTATTTATTTATTTCATAAATAAAAATGATTCATGCAACAAATTTCACAAATGGCATATTTATGGAAGAAAATTTCAGGAGTGGTGTAGCATAATTTATATCAAATGATAACTAGATATATTTCAAGAGTAACAGCAAACATCTAAAAAGTCAATTCTTAGATTAAAGACAAATAATTGCCAGATTACATGGGGCTATTGTTTGTAACGATGAACATTAGCAAGTCAGGAGTAAGAAAAGGAAAATTATATGTATAATTTAATTATTAAGAAAAGTGAACTGCAAGTAAATATCTTTAAAACATTTAAACACTGTAAAACAGCCAAAATATAGTAAAACATTTAATAATTTTATAATCATGTATATAGTTGTTATGTCCAAATACAAGTGCTAACAATTAACACTCCTCTATTGGCTAGGAAATATGATTTGTTTACACCCACAATTCAGGCAGTTGCCCACTTGCCATTGTAAAGTGAAAAAATAAATAAATAAAGCTATTTTTTCAAACTATATACTGTAAGTCTTTTTAAACCTTAAATTAAAATAGTAGTAAATACAGTAAAATATTGAAAAAAAGTATAGCTTTAAGGAAACACATGATTTTAATAATGTGAAGATAATTTATTGTAATAAATAAATAGATACTGATTAAAATATTGTGGAGACTGAACTGAAAAAGAATAAACTAAATATAAATGTTCCATCACCCAAATATTAAGTGTAAAATGGTAAAGATTTACAAAAAAAAAAAAAAAGAAATGGAATATACAATCACATTATAGATAATTAACATGTGAACTAAGAAAAATATATATAAAAAATTTGACTTAAATATTAAATAAGTTATTTAAAATATATTAACCTGAATGTCCTGAAAGAAATTGAAATGGTGTTGCAGTTTCACAATCAGTAAGAAATATTTTGTTATCACCAGCTCCTCCACTAATTAATAAACTGAATCTGTTGCTTAAATCTTCCATAAAACACAAATCTCTCACTGTTCCAGAATGCATAGTAAGCTCAGTTTCTCTGCCTGAAAAATTCATCAAATGTATTATAAAAATATAAATGATATTTTATCAACTTAAATTTTTAATCTATTTTATATTTAGATAGTTCAAACATTAATATGGAGTCACTTAAACATAACAATTTCAATACATTTAATCACCCAACTTAAACAAAGGAGAGTAAAACTACTCAAATTTGAAAATAATTTTATTAAAATAAAATTAATTAAATGCAGACATTTAAATAATGTTTTAAGAATATTTCACCACAAATTAGTGTGTGAATTTTCTAAAAGAAAAAAAAACTTTGTGTAGCAGTCAACTGGAAATTTTCTATATACTGTAAATAAAAAGTAGATCTGGTTCATTTGTCTAATATATCTCTCATAAAAAAAGAAAAAAAAAACTTAAAAACAATATATAAAAGCAACTAGCACTTTTGCTGTTTTTTTGTTAAAATAGTCTCTTGGTTTAACTCTTTCAAACAAAAAGAAAATTAATATAAATGGAGTAATTTTGCCTAGAGATAGAAGAGTTGCAGGCCAGGCCAATTCTTTTCTTCTAGAACTTCCTAAATATTAATTTATTTACAACATAAATGGAATAAAAAACAATATTCAAATGTTATTCTGTCTTTTTATTTCTGTTTTGCTAATTGTTTCTTTTATATTATGTTTTTATACAACTTTTAATGTTGATCTTGTATTTATTTTATTTTATTTATATATTTATATTTATTTATTAATATCAAATTAAATCAAATTACAATCTCTCTTACATACAAAGAACCTCAGTGATATATGAGCCTGAGAAGAATAAGAAATGATCAAGAGGTACTGCACAGAATAAATTTTTTTTTTAAATTTGAAACAGATTCTAGGTTTATTGTTATTGATTATATTCTTGAATTTTCTTTTCTATGAAAAAACTTCACGAAAATACAAAATAAATAAACACACGAGTTACTGAAAATGAGAAGTTTTATGGCTTAGTGATGATGATATTCTAAATAGTGAAATTTTTTAAAAAGTATTATATGTAAAAATTCATATATGTATTAATTGTACCAATAGTGACTATGTCTATTTGTCATTAAAATTTAATTTTAAAAATATTGGCTATTCAGTGACTACTTTTGAGTTCTTAGTGACATTTGCATTGTGGTATTTTGCAGTGACAACTTGGAAGATGGGATATATTCTTTGTTAATATGTGGAATTGATACTATTATCAAGTGTCGCCAGTGAAGAATGATAACTTATTTGATCCTAGTGTTAAGTTTTAGAGGTAAAAATTAGATTAAATATAACTTTTGTGTTTTTTGAACAATATGAGTTTTGTGGAATGTTGAGTTATCAACAATCGAGTTTCTGGGACTCTACCGTAGAACTTTGTTTTCTATTAAAGTGAAATTTTGTTCACTTTATTCAAAAAAGTTAAAACTCGTTTGCGTAAGGAATATTCATATACATTTTTAAAAAGTAATGTAGGAAACAGAACAACTGAAATCTACAGTACTTTTAATTTTAAAGTAAATGTATCAGAATTTAATATTTAATTAATAGTACTGTTGAAGTTAATTAAAACTGCATTATTTGACATAATAATAGATGATTAGACTGCCATCTTGTACTAATAATATTAAATTCAATTATTAATACTAAGACAAGATGACATCCTAAAAGCCCATGTTTAAGTTAAATTACATAATTTAATTATCTTAATAATAGCATTATCATAGCCTATTAGTAATCAAGCAGTTTGTCATTGATTGTTTGAATATATCAGATTGTAGTTTGTTTTTTCATAATTTCCTAAATAATGAAAGGAACTTTTCTCAAAATGTTTATTTAAATGTTATATTAATAAACTACTTTTTAGAGACCAATCTGTAAAAAGTAGTTATTAATATAACTTTCAAGTTTCATATGGAAATTGATTAAGAATTGAGTTTACTTAAATGTTTATATTTATTGATTAGCTTTTTTTATGGAAAAGAAATGTTATGGAATGGAATCAGTCTGTTAATTATCTTCATTGTTAAATCATTTAATTCAAAAAGAAAATTATTTGAAATTTAAATAATGAATTTACATGTATATATATTTAAATTATATTGTGTTTTTCATGCCATACTTAATATATAGAGACCATGAAAATAAATTTCATAAACTATTCAGAGTAACATTAAATAAGAACAGGTTTCAGCATACTTAACAATTTATCAAATTCATATTTTGCTTAACTTTGTCAAGTTTTAACACAGAAAAAATATACTCTTTGGTTTATAATAAAAATTTGAATTTTCGTGTAACGTTAAAATTTCAATGAATATAATTGTGATTTTGTACTGAAAATGATTACATGTGATTTGAAAATTTTCTTACCTTCAACGGAATACTTTTCAGCATTAAATCTTGTTAATTTAATTGTTTTATCATTGGAACCGGTAGCAATTAAATCACCCGTTGCATTCCAAGCCAAACAATAAATAGATCCTTTATGATGTTTTAATCTTTTAAACAATATTGTTGGTTGATGAGCAGCATGATCTTCTCTATATTAAAAATAAAAATATAATTAAATGTATCATATAAAAAACTTAAAATAAGCATCGATTTAATACAATTATTTATTGATTCAGAGAATCTTTTGTTTCTATGCTCTATCATTATATTTTCTACCATTTTTTTAAACTTTATTCTTTACTGATAGTATTTATTTCAATTTTTTAATTGTTACACTGTACATTTCCCAATATTTTAAATTTCTCATTCATCGTGTTTACTTTATCTGAGATTATTAGTATTTAACTTTATTACAAATATATTTCTTTTCATTTTCAAAATATGTAAAATGATTTATCTATTTATTGGTTTTAAAATTATTAATTAAATTTATTCACTTTTATAGATTGTACTAAAACAAAAACAAGGGAGCAGCAAAATCAAATTCACATAAGTTAATTTTATTATAAATAAACATACTTTATAGAAGATTATTTCAAAAGAAATATGTACTAATATATTACACAATTATAAGAAATAACTGTTTCGTGAATCTATAGTTTTTCAATGTAATTCTCTTCCTTCTCATAGTCAATATGAGCTCCACAGGTCGGATTTGACTCATCACACTTTGATTTGTTTCTGAAGTCAAAACTATTTATTGATAATGTTTCATTTTCTAATCTGCATTATCCAGCACATCTGCTATTTCAATAAAAGTCTAGAATGGAAATTGTAGATCTTCCAGAACATTGCAGGCTCATAAACCTCATTAATTTCTGAAAGTATTTAATAAATTAGATGCGTTTCTTTTGAAATGATTTATGTACTTTTTGTGCTATTTCCACTAATTCATAGTGATTAAAAACTGCTCATATGTACTTCTCCTGACCATATCTTCAAATGTTCATAAATTTTAATAAATGCATCTTTTGGAAAAATTGTTTCAGATAAAAGTTTATTTTTTACATAGAATCATAATACAGTGCGTGATCGGTTAATTAATGAACATAATTCATTCCAAGACCGTGTTTGCTATCTGAATTGTTCGTTAACCAATTATTGATTTACCATAGATTTTTGTGGGAATTTGATTAATTCATTCTGGAAACCCCAAAAAATAAATAAAAAATAATATACTTTCTTACTATGTTTATTTACATGTAATAACAAACTAAAAGCAATCTCTTCATTTTTTCATGAATGGCACATCTTTGTTTCTCATATGCGATTTTTGATACTTTTTTTTATCTGCTTGAGTCTTTTTGATTATATCTTTCTTAGCTAAGATTATATCTACTGTAGACCTGTTGAAGTCATATGCCTACAATATCAGACATCTTTTGTCCACTCTCTGCCTTGGCTATTATCTCATGCTTAGTTTCTATAGCAAACACAGTTCTTGACACACCACTCTTTTTAGGCCCCATAATATTATCAGTTTTTTAAATAAAAAGTTCAGAAAAGCACTTACAAAAATTCAGAGAACAGAAATTAACTGGTGCTAAAAAGGTTATGTATACAACTGTGAAAGTCTCGTTCCATAAACCACATATAGATGCCATTAAAAAATAGTTTTATAAACCTTAAATGCAGTGTTACCTCTCATGTTTGTTCTGTCAGGTGTTCTTTATCTGAACATGTATTTGTTGTCTGAACATAAAAATCTTTTGCGAAAGTGTTCATTGTTTGATTTGTTCACAGTCTGAACTGTTCGTTAACAGATCACTCCCTGTATGCAATAAAAAAAAAGGTCAACTTCATTTTAGAAAATGAAGTTGACCTTTTTTTAACCAATCATAGGACCATCTATATGAAAGAGTGTGCCATCTTGTGGCTCCCTTGAATAATTTCGCTTTAATGAATTTTTTCATAGAATGTGTATTTTGAATTATTCCAATAGATTGATTAATATACAGAACAGTTCATTTTAAAGCATTCAATTTTCCTTTATATAATTATATTATTTTTGCAAGGGAAATAAGGTTTGGAGAATTATTATTCTGTATAACTGATGTTATAAAATTGAAAAAAAAAACTATAAATCCTATTTGTAGACACCGAAGGCCTCTATTTATTTATAAGGAAAATCTGTTCACAAGTATTCATTGGTGCTTCACAAGGATGGCACTATTTAGAAGTGTTCTACATCAAAGTTTGACAGTATATTTATAATTTATTGAATTAAAAAGTAAATTATTATACATTTACCTCAAATCATGCACTTTTGGATAAGAACAAATGCGAAGAGCTTGAGAGTTAGAGCCAATTGCATACATTTTTCCATTTGGATGGAATTCCACAGCTCTAATAGCTTGTTCATCTTCCAGTCGATTAACTGCCACAAACGATTTTTTCTTGCCCTCGGGACTTGATCTGTTATTGTTTCCAATGTGATCGGTTTCATGATGCTGTTAAATTAAAGTTTAAAAAGTATAATTAAATCTTTCATAATAATATAATTAAAAATATNAATAATAATTATTATTATTATTATTATTTTTATAATAAAATGATATGCAGTTATTCTCTAACATTTTAACAATTGATTAGAGATTGCATATGATATACTATTAATGCACAAATCTCTTCTATACCGCCAAATAAAGAAAATATCAAAAAGAAAAAGATCAGAATGTAGCTCAATGGAAGAGCACATGATTGTCAAGGTCTATGATTCGAATTCCTGCGCCATTATCAATTTTGATATCCAGATGACTAAGATAGTAAAGACCATATCTTGCACACTGAGGAATGTCTTAATAAAATTCTAAGCTTATTTAATTTTTTAAACAAATAGAAGAGGCAGAAATTTAGTTCTTCTTTTAGGCTTTTCTTTTTTTTAAAAAAAATGTCCACATGCCAAAATGACATAATGCCAAATTTCTGTGCATGTAAGTTCTGCACCAATAAAAATACTAGAATATATTTACTTCTATAGAGATTTTTTAAGTTTTTCTTTAAAAAAAAATAGCTTAAAGGCATAATGCCAATTTAATACATTTATTTGTTCCAATAATATCTGTGTTTTATGTGTTTCCAGATATAAACTGTTTCTATCTTTCCTTTATAAGAGCAGTTTCCATATACCCCTTTTAACATTTTTATTACCTATACTATTAACTAAAATACTATTATCTGTTAATAAAACCCTATATGAGTTTTTAAAGCTTATGTATGAAATGACTTAACAAAACATTAATACATTTAAAACACTTCAGAACAGAAATAAACAAAAATATAACATGCTAAAGTTTGAAATTGTCCATGTTAATGTAATATAAGTAAATACGGTATGAAAATTAAGAATACAATAATTTAATGAATATCAATAAAGAATTAAAATATGGGAACACACTTTTTCAATATTAAAAATCTAAATTCTTAATAAATATTAAAAAAATGAAAGACAATTTATTTAAACCATTTTGATGTGAATGCCATATCTGTTTAGTTTAAAGAATACAAACGTAATAAAAGTCAATTCAAAATAATCAGCCATCTTCACACAGCTAACAGTTTCTGCTTCTAAACTAGTAACAACATTTTAATAGAACATCAATTTATCTGCACACCATTTAAAAACATTTAAATTAAACTATTTTAAAATATTTTCTAAACATTAAATATGAATATAAAAGAATATTTAAATTAGCTCTTAAAAATCTTAAATAAAGACAATTTGTGCAGTCCATCAAATAAAAATGAATATGATATAGTATTTGTGTTTTATACATTTTTAAACAATATCCAATCTGTAATTTTTACTTATAAGGATTAATTGAAACATTACAGAATTATACATTATAATATTATATCCATATTAGCTGAATATAGTAATATTAATAAATATTATAATATGTCATTATATATGTTATATTCTCAATATTATGTATAAGTTTTAACTGATTCACGCACCTTTCAGCTTTTAACCACCAAAATTTAACTGCATCAATCCCCCTAATAAACAAATCTCCCTGTAAAATTTCATAAATTTTCAACAAAAAGTACAAAAGTTATTAAGCTTCAAACAGGGCGAACAAAATCATGTCACACACACACCCAAATTTTTTTGGATTTCTTGACATTTCAAGGTCCAAGTCCAAAAATGTAAAAATCCTCCAAAAAATCGGTCATATTTTGATCAATTGCTATACTTTCCCTCTGTTACATATAACAACAGTCAGAAAAGTAAAACAATCTGAATTGTACTAAAGTTTTTCTGGTATTTAAAAAGTTTTCAATGTTTTTATATAGAATTTTAATAAAATCAATTCTAAAATTTCTTTACGTAGAAATATTTGAGTTATAAGTTTAAAATTTACCAATTAAATTGTGGTTTATTTTGTGAATGATAAATATTAACTAACTATCTAAAATACAGTACCTACAATAATAATAAATATTCAATAAATAATTAAAACAAATAATAATTTTAAAGTGAAATATAAATAATTATAAGTGAAATAAAATGCTATTTTTTATGAACTTTGTTTGAAAAAATGTTTTCAATAAATTTGTATATTATTTATAAAAATTTTTATTCTAAAATTTTAAATAAAAAAAAAAAAGAGAAAAAGAAAGAGAAATAAGTGACAGAAACTTCAAAAGATTAGTAAATAAATATCTTTTGAAAGATCAAACTGAAATGATTTTGACAAACAAAATCAAATAAATGTTTTTGACAAGTCAAACAGACAAATATTTTTGACAGATAAAATCAAACATATGACCCAAGAAATACTTTTTGTTTCTCTTGTTATATATATTATATAATTTAAAATAAGTTAATAAAAAAGTATTTTTCATAATATATTTTTATAGATTCAAATTAATAAGAAAACTATTACAGAATAACATAATTAACAATTGGATCTATTACCAAAATAACTTTAAAACTGCTGAATTATTTTTCTTGTTACATTAAGTTTAATCTTTAATGAATTAATTAACACAATTTGCCAAAAATTACAGGATAATTATATAAGACAGCAACATAACTACCTACCTTCCGGCTAAATTATGTTAATTAAAAATTAACTTTAATGTAGACTGAAAGATAATCTGGCAATTATAAACTTATATTTAATGATTTAAAAATTTTTTAGAATGAATGTTATTATTTAATTCTATAATTTTAAGACAGTAATTGTTTATTATTGTTACATCTGTATATTAATGTGTCTTAATACTTAAGATCTTTATTCATAGTTTTTGTAAATTTATAGAAATATTTTTCATTTAATGATTAAAGATATTGAAGAATTTATTTTTGAAATAAATATGTGTGTGTGTATATTTGAGATGAAATTAACATATACTGAATATATTTCCCTAGTATAAAAAATAATACATATAAATATGTATTATTGTATTTATATATACAAGTATCTGTAATTCTAATTTATATGTAGTCAATTCATACATCTGAATAAGTTATATTTATGAAGTAATCATCCAATTTAAATTATATGAATCCTGTTTATGATCACATAAAAAATATTTCAAAATAATATGTTCAAAAAAACATGAGGAATAAGTCAAAAAGTCAAAAAAATGTTAGAATATAAGAAATTATTTAAGTTATTCAAAATAATTATCCCAAGCTTCAATGTGCTTTCTCCAATTCAGGAAACATTTAGAAAAATTAGTTTATTTTAAGAATCACAAAATATTCTTTGATTTGATTCTATTGATTCAAACTATTTTCCTTTTAAAGTTGTAACAGCTATTCTTCCATAACTATTCAACTCCCCTCATCTAGTTCCTAATGACTTTTTCCTTACTTAGGGCTGGAAAAAGCATTAAAAGTCAATGAGTTGATAGAACTCATACAAGAAGAATGGAAGAAAATTTTGTGATTCCCAAAAGAAACTGATTTTTCTAAATGTTTCCTGAATTAGAGAAATTGTTGGTAAAAGTATATTGAAGCTTAGAATGATTTATTTGAAAATATTAAATAACTATTTTATATATTAACATGTTTACTTTTTTGAACACATCTTGTATACTTTGTTTTTACATTTTTTTGCTATTTAATGATAGTTACTAAACTGTCATCAAACATAAAAAAAAAATCAATATTAATTTTACAATTTAGAATAAAACAAAGTATTATAAGTAAATTGAGTCAGTTTCATTTGTTTTTAAATATTACAGATTATTTTTATCTGAAAATAATCAGCTATTAATATTTTTCATGGTATAAAAAAATATCTTCAAAATCATAAAAATATTAAAATACTTCTTATGACTGCTAGAGAAAAATAGTAGTTTCATTCAGATACAAAACAATCTGAGTGAAACTAAAGCACAGCTTTATATTTTCAAATCATATCAAGTATGAGTAATAATATAGAAACTATAATCAACCAAAAATGTAACCTGAATTATTCTGTAATATGCAAATATATGTAATGTTTATAAAAACATTCTATTGTCTTTATATTATAAAATTTTTTGTATTATTTTCAGAAGTCCCTATTGTACTTTTATACTTCCATAGAGATTTTACAGATCAATTTAAATGTATAGTGTATAACATAATGCCATTCACATACATTTTATTTACATAATTATTTTCCATTTATAAAAAGTACATCAAACTGATTTATCTGTATTTAATATATCAGATTAATTTGCAAATAACATAATTCCATAATCCTAATACATTTTAGGAGATAAGAAAAATTATAAGTTAATTACATTACATGAGAATTCTAAAATTTATATATACAAAAATATTTATTTATTTATTTCATAAATAAAAATGATTCATGCAACAAATTTCACAAATGGCATATTTATGGAAGAAAATTTCAGGAGTGGTGTAGCATAATTTATATCAAATGATAACTAGATATATTTCAAGAGTAACAGCAAACATCTAAAAAGTCAATTCTTAGATTAAAGACAAATAATTGCCAGATTACATGGGGCTATTGTTTGTAACGATGAACATTAGCAAGTCAGGAGTAAGAAGAGGAAAATTATATGTATAATTTAATTATTAAGAAAAGTGAACTGCAAGTAAATATCTTTAAAACATTTAAACACTGTAAAACAGCCAAAATATAGTAAAACATTTAATAATTTTATAATCATGTATATAGTTGTTATGTCCAAATACAAGTGCTAACAATTAACACTCCTCTATTGGCTAGGAAATATGATTTGTTTACACCCACAATTCAGGCAGTTGCCCACTTGCCATTGTAAAGTGAAAAAATAAATAAATAAAGCTATTTTTTCAAACTATATACTGTAAGTCTTTTTAAACCTTAAATTAAAATAGTAGTAAATACAGTAAAATATTGAAAAAAAGTATAGCTTTAAGGAAACACATGATTTTAATAATGTGAAGATAATTTATTGTAATAAATAAATAGATACTGATTAAAATATTGTGGAG